CTGCCGTGAGTTTGAGGCCAGCCTGGGGACACAGTGAGTTCAAATCCACCCACGAAGTAAGTTCAAGCCCAGCCTGAACTACATAGTGAGAAGCTAATGTAAACAAAAAAAAAAAAAAAAAAAAAAACACCAAAAAACCCCACCCCAATTTAAAACTATCAGTCATTATTTTTAACTTGTCCCCAGTTTTGCCTGTGGGATCCCAGGTGTGACACTATTGTTAGGCTATCCTTGCTTCTAGGTCTCTCAAGAGGACAGCACTAGATCCTAGAGTGTGATGCTCACCTATCAGTATCTGCTTTTTTTTGAGACAGGGTCTTGCTATGTAGTTCAGGCTGTCTCGGGCTCATTGGACAGCCCAGGCTGGCCTCCTGAGTGCTGGGATTACAGGAGTGCGCCCGCACTCCCAGCCCATATCTGTTTTTTGTTTGTTTTGTTTTTTCTTTTTCTTCTTTTTTTTTTTTGCGGAACCAGGGGTTGAACTCAGGCCCTTGTGTTTGCCAGGCAAGCGCTTATTCTACTGAGCCATCTCCCCACCTCACCCCCCAGCTGTTTATTAGTTTGTCAGAATCTACCAGTTGGGGCCCAGGAGATGGCTCAGTAGATTAAGGGCTTGCCTGGCAAGGGCAAAGGCCTGAGTTCAATCCCCGGGGCTGGAGAGATGGCTCAGTGGTCTAAAGCACCTACTTAGAACAAGCTTAGCAAAAGCATCAGGGACCTCGGTTCAATCCCCCAGCACCACATGCCAGCCGGCCCCGCCCCGAGTTTAATCCCCGGTTCTGAAGGGGGGAAAAAAATCCACCAATTTGTACTGAAACTCTATGTCAATCTGATCCCCTGTTTGCAACTCTCTGTTCATAGTGAGCAATGTGCTCCCCAGTACCCAGAGCAGATTTACTCGGTCAGTGTCAAAGCAGTTTGAGAACCCGAGCTCCAGAGCACTGTGAGGATCCTAACTAGAGCTCAGCATTTCCTTTTTTTGTTTCACTTTTCTTCTGAGGCAGGGTCTCACTATGTAGGTCACATTAGTCTGGAACTCACCAAGTAATTTAGTGTGGCTTTGAACTTGCGGCAACCCCCCTGCCTCAGGCTTCAGTGCTGGGACTACAGGCACCACACCAGCTGAGTTCAGCACTTCTTAGTGTCATTCCTGAGAGTATACAAAGTATTGTATTCTAAAGTTACTTGGGTTAATTAATTTCCCCCTTGCTAGTGCTATCTACTTAAAATCATGGAGCCTCCTAATTTCTGACTGTATTCCTTTGCTCCTTGTCTTTTAATTTCTGGGGTACATGAAATGTGGTACAAGTGAGACCGGCTGGGTCAGGTGCTACCTTGACAGAGACAGCTTCCCACCCTTCGATCTGGTCCCCATCCCCTCCATCCCCCACCATTTCCATCCTTGCCCTGGCGGGAGCGGACCATTCTCTTTAGTTCATGCCTTATTATTCCTATTCTTATTATCATTGTTGTTATTTAGGCAAGGTCTCACCATGTAGTGCAGGCTGGTTTTGAATTATGTAGCCAAGACTGTCCTCAAATCCACAAAGATCTCCTGCCTCAGCCTCCCAAGTGCTGGGATTACGGCATGCGCCACCACCCCTGGCTTCGCGCTTATTCTTCCTGTTTCTTATTTCACCGCTGTGATTGCTTATCACACACGGTGTGTTATCTTTCCCATTTCTTACACACAGGGAAGCAGTACAGACACTGTTCGCACTTTGCCCCCTTCTCATGAGCACTGAGACATTGGGTGGGTGCGCTGACAGGACGCAGATATCCCGCGCAGGTCTCTTTCTTCATTCTGGTGGTGGGATCAATCTCGGGGCCGGCGCCACCCCAATGGCCGTGGATGCTCCCCTCCCCACGTGGGCCTTGTCTCGCTGCTACTTTGCAGTTCCACACGTGCTGTAAGGAATCTCCTTGTGCACAGTTTTGTACACTGGAGCAATCAGAGGGGGTGGTGCGAAGTCAGGAGATAAACCGGGGTTCTGTTGGTTGCTTCCAAATCTCTTTCCATCAGGGTTGTACGTGTGCACTTTGGTGTGCAGGGAACGAGAGCACCTGCCCCTGCCCACAGCCTTGGCCGCAGAAGGGTTCTTCACTCACCCATGTGAGATGGCATCATGATAGTTTAATTTGGTCTTTTCTTAACTGAAATTGAGGGTAGATATCTTTTCCTATGTTTATGCACCAACTTTATACAATTTTTTTTTTTTTTTTCGTTTTGAGACAGGGTCACCTTTGCTCCTCCTGCCTCTGCCTCCCAGGTGCTGGGATCATAGGCGTGTGCCACCATGCTCAGCAATTTCATATAACTTCTGTGAATTGTTTCTTCATGCACATTTTTCTCCCTATAGCTTTTCTTTTCCAATTTTTCAAGACAGGGTCTCACTATGTGGCTGGCCTTGAACTCATGGCAATCTTCCTGTCCCAGCCTTCCAAATTCTGGGATTACAGTGGTTACCATCACACCTGGCATATATCTATCTATCTATCTATCTATCTATCTATCTATCTATCTATCTATCTATCTACCTATCTATCTGAGACAGGGTCCCATTATGTTGCCCAGGGTGGCTTAAAGTTGGTGACTACCTGCCTCAGCCTCCCAAGTAGCTGGAGTTGCTAGGCATGGGCCACTGTGCCAAGATCCTATTTGATTTTCATTTTTGGATTTCTGATTCAAGATGTTTTATATATGCACAGAATTGTTCGAGGATATTTCATTCAGTTACAGTTTTGTTTTACAGTTGTTTAAGGAGAGAATTTTACTAGCTGGGTCTTGTTTCCTATAGTATCCATGGGTCTATTTAGTTTTTATCCATTTATTCACATATTTAGGCTTTTTTCCCTAATTTTCCCTAATCACAATTCCAAATTTGATTCCATGTGCTTCTTTTATCGAGCAGATGATTTTCCATCCTCGTTGCATTACGAGCTAGTATGAGATGCGCAGTTAAATACACTATAGCACCTTGATGTTTGGGTGTTCCTCTATTCTAGTTAGGGTAGCAGGAGGGCTTTTGTGGCTTTTATTTTAATTTTTTTTGTTTTGTTTTGAGACAGGGTTTCACTTTGTAGTTTACGCTAGTCTTAAACTATGTAGCCCACACTGGTCTCGAACTCACAGCAGTTCTTCTGTTTTAGCCTCCCCAGCACAGGGATTATAGGCATGCACTACCACGCTGTTTTGGTGGCCCACATGGCATGCAGTGCCGGGGATTGAACCTGGATCCTTGTGCTTGCCAGGACAGTGCTTAGACTGCCAAACTATCTCCCCAGCTCCCTTTTTTTTTTTTTTTTTTTTTTGGTACCAGGGATTGAACTCAAGGCCTTGTGCTTGCCAGGTATGCTGCTAGCTATCTCCCTGGCCCCCTCCTTTGATTTTTCTGAGTCTAGCCTTCCCTCCTTTCCAATACATGCCTGCAATAAATCAGACACATTCATTGTAGAAAGTGGTACGCATACATAGTGCATTTTGATCCTTTTTACTTCCTGTGTCATTCTCAGTTGGGGACAATGGCACACATTTGTAATCGCAGCACTCAGGGAGCCTGAGGTTGGGAGATGGTGAGTTTTGAGCCCAGCTGGGGGCAATTTAGCAACTTAGTGAGTCTCAGGCTTAACAATTCAAAAGGTGGGGTATAGCTTAGTACAAAAAGTTCAGGCCTTGGTGCAGCTGTTCCCACTGCAGGGTGGAGAGTGTTGTAGGTAGCAGAGCAGAAGAGGGAGGCGAGGAAGGTTCCGAGTGGGTGGCTTGGCCTCTGTGGCTCATTTGGGACACAGGTTGACAGCACAAATGAGAGTAGTTAAGGGCCAGTGTGGGTGTGACAGGTCCTGTGTGTGCAGATTGGGCTCTTAGCCAAGAGAGGTTCTGTAGCCTGCTCTTGTCTCTCAAGGGTTCAAGCCTGAAGAAGGGAAGCGAGGGGACGCTTGTGAAGGTGACAGCGGGGGACCCTTTGTCATGAAGGTAACTCCTCCAGGCTGGAGGCCAGTGGGGCCAGAGTCAGTTGCCTGGAGGGTGGCATGGGAACTGCCTTGGACATGTCTCTCTGGAACCCATCTTTCCTCCCCAGAGCCCCTTCAACAACCGCTGGTATCAGATGGGCATCGTGTCCTGGGGTGAGGGCTGTGACCGGGACGGGAAATACGGCTTCTACACACACGTGTTCCGCCTGAAGAAGTGGATCCAGAAGGTCATCGAGCAGTCTGAGTAGGGCCGCTCCTGCCGCAGCTCCGGCTGCAGATCGCAGACCATCGCCAGTCCATCCAGAGTATCTCTGTGGCTGCTTCTGAAATGCCAGCTCCAATAAAAATGACTGCATCGGCCAGCACCTGTCTGCTCCAGGCTTGCGTAGTGCCCCGGTGTGCGCTAGGCGCCTGTACACATAGGGGGCAGGAGGGCAAACTGAGGCTTAGAGAAGTAGTTCGTCCAAAGTCACAGAGCTAAGAGCTCAGAGTAGGAGATAGCAGCGGAGGCCTTCGCTCCCACTGCTTAGCTGTCGGGCCCAGAGCAGGGAGGGAGGACACACTGGGGGTGAATGGCCACCTCTTGCAGTCTGCTTGGGACTTGCCTGCAATGGCCCAAGCTGGTCCCTGTCACTCGGTCAGCTCAGGACTCAACACCTTCATCTGAGTCCTGGGGGAGAGGGGCTCGGAGAAAAGCCTCTAGCACGACCCCTTGGGTGCAGGTTCCTGCTCCAAGCACAGCAGGGGTACTAACCATGTTCAAGTAACCTCGTTTTTGTATTTTTTAGTTACTGGTTTTCTGAGACAGGGTCTATGCCTCAGCCTCCCGAGGGCAGGGATCAAAGGTGCGCCAACACCAGAACAATGTGCAGGGTTACCTCTGCTGTCAAGTGCTTCTCCTTCCAGCTCCAACAAGCAGCAAAGCAGGGGACTGTTGTGTCCTGGAATTTTTCTTTCTTTCTTTTTTTGTATTTTAGGGAAACCGGGTCTACAGGGTCTCACTACTAGACTGGACTCTAGTGATCCGACTGTTTACAGCCTACCAAGAGCTGGGATTACAGGTGCACCACCACGCCCAGTCTCAATTGTGGCCATCTCAGCATGCCCCAGGGGTAAGGCTGGCATGGCAGGCCTGGGGATTGAACCCCCGGCCCCTGTGCCTGTTTGCAGGCGCTCTAATCCAATTGAGCTATTTGGCCGGCCCTTGGAATTTTTCTTAAGAGTGATTTTTAGGTTGCAGCAATTTGTTTTTTCAGGAAATAGGCCCTGAGGGGAATGTAAATGAATTTGTACAAATTAAAATGTCAGGTGTAGATGGCGCACACCTGTGACCCCAGCTCTGGAGCGGCTGAGGCAAGAAGATCATTGGGCATTCGAGCCCAGCCTGAGCTACAAAGTGAGCTCAAGGCCAGCCTAAGCTGCATAGTGAGACCCTGTCTCAAAACAAACAAAAACACCCAAAAAGTCAGATGGAGAGCTGAACACTTGCAATGCTAGGACTCTGGAAGGCTGGGGCAGGAGGATCCTAATTTTGAGCCTATCCTGGGTAACTTAATGACTTAGCAAGACCCTGTCTCATAATAAAATGTAACAGGCTAGGGCTTAGTATGAAGGTCATAGGTTCAATCACCAGAACTATACAACAAAACAAATGACAGGATTTTTTTTTTTTCAGTACCGGGGATTGAACTCGGGACCTTGCACTTGCCAGGCAAGCACTTACTCTACTGAGCTATCTCCCCGGCCCAGGATTTCTTTTTGAGACAGGATCTATGTAGTTCAGGTTGGTCTTGAACTCACAGTAACCTTTCTGCCTCAGCCTAAATGCTGGGATTATAGGTGTGCACAACCACACCTGGCAAAGTGACAGGATTTTTTTTTGGTGGATTTAACTCAGGCCCTTGTGCTTGCCACAGAAGCGCTTATTCTACTGAGTCATCTCCCCAGCCACTCCCCAAAGTGACAGGCTTTAACCCCCTGCCTAGCACATTCTGCAAGGTTATGTTGGCAGAATCTACCCTGTGGGACACAGTATAGCTTTGCCCAGGGCCAGCCTGACGGTCAGGTGAGTACAGTGGGATGGTGCCATTCCCATGGGTGTGTCTGATTTATGGCACTGAGCCAGCAGAATCTGTGACAGGGCATTCACAGGGGTGCTGGCATCCCAGGTCAGTGGGCACAGATGCCATGTGGTGACTGTTCATGGATGAGGGCCTGCAGCTACTGGGTTTAAGGGAGCAACAGTTTTCTTTAACTCTCTCCAGCATCCTTTATTCCCCATTTTCAGTACAGAAGGGAACAGAAGCTGGGACATGGGGCTCTGTTGTCCTTGGTTCTGGCTGGGCGGAAGAGGTCCAAAGTGGAGCTGAGTGTGCTTGTGGTACTTCGGCTGCACAGAGCCTTACTGATGGGAGATGGTAACCAGACTTGGTGGATATCCACAGCTGCCTGGGAAGTGCCTGGGGCCTGCAGACTGCTCTCCCCCATCGCTGGCCACAGGTCAGCTCAGGGCACTTGGGGTTTTGGGCTTAGCTGTGCCAACTCAGTCCATGTCCTGCAGCCTGAATACCACCTTCCCCACCAGGAAAACTTGCTGCCTGTCCTGGGTCACCCAGAGAGAATGGCAGGCTTATCTCTGATGGCTCGGATGAGGTGGACAGAGAGGATCCCCTTCCATAGCTCTATTCCCTGAACTCTAGCTGGGAAGGTCCTGCGAGGGTCATGCTTCCCTGGGTCTCCGTGGAATTCACAAGCGCTCAGCCTAAAGTCTTTCTGGCTGTGGACGGAGGTAGGGCCCAGAGCTTGTACTCTGGAGGTGAATCCTTGGTCCACATTTTGGTCCTCCTGCAGATCAAATGCAAAGCAGCTTCTAGTCTGGATCCAAACAGATGCACGTCACTGGGCAGGAAAAAGCACATTCTTAGTCCCTCCAGGAAGGAGCCCCACCTGTGGACGTGCTGTGGGATGCACGTCCATGCAGCCCAGCCGATGATGGGCGCACTCTCCTGGGCACTTGAACTGCACAGTGCTATGTCATCTTCAAGTTCCTGGCCACCCTGTCCAGGGAATGGAAGACAGGACGACTGGAAGCTCACAATGGGAGGATGAAGGGATTTCTCCGTGTTCCTTAGAGCACACACGGGAAACAGGAGCAGGTCTTTCATTCCAAGTGAGTCACAGGTGCTCCATGTCTGTGAGCCAGAAGGAGTTAGGAGTCCACAGGCAGCAATGAACCTTTTAGAACTGGCTCTGTCCTGGTCCCAAATCAGGTGACAGAGTGGCCCAGCACTCCAGGGTATGGAACACCTTGAGAGACAGGTATAGTTAATGCAAACTTTATTTATAAAAGACTCTTAAATTAGTTGCCTCATGCCATGCATTCATACAGAATTTAGTGACCCTTCAGGGCTATAGGGAGAAGAGATCACAAACTCAAAGAAAAACTATTAAAGAGTTCTAATAGTTAAAAGCTAGGAAAGATTAGGACAATTTTACAAATGACCAGTCAAAAAAAGAAAAGAACAGAAAAAGGCCATGGACACTAGTGTGTGCTGAGGGACAGCTGTTTACAAGTCTGTACACTAACTAATCCACAGTTGGCTGTGGGTGCTTGGGGACCTGGGGTGGCCACGTCACCTCCTCCACTGGCCGATACCTCCAGCCACTTTGTGCACACTCGACCTGTGTGGCCACGCCATACTATGAGGGCTTCTAGTTTAGTAACCTAAGCTGCAGGGAGCCAGGGTGGCAGCTTCATTTGCGACTACTCTTTATTCTCTCCAGTCTTTTTTTCAAGTCATCGATGTTGGTAGAGGAGGAGGAGGAGGGCACTGTGCCCGCGGAGTGGGACTGGTTGGAATCCAGCTCTGAGTGCTGGTGCTGCTCGCGGGACTCCCGCAGCTGGAACAGCTTGCTGTGCAGCATGTCTGTGGAGGAGGCCACAGGGGGCACTGTGGGCTTGGAGAGCAAGGAAGTCAGCGGAGGCCGGTCATCTTGCTGCAGAAAGAAGGGGGACACTGTCTCAGGCCAGGGGAGCAGGTCAAGGCTGAGCTGCCACCCCCGCATCATGACCCCCTCAGGGCCAGCAGGACAAAAAGTATTACCTTTGTGTTATCCAGCCCACATCTCTGCCGGAGGATTTTTAGTCTTTCCAGATAGACAGATGGTCCTACCTCCTCACCATTTGTGTTACTTATGGAGGACATTGTGCTTGTAGGGGTGGGCACACAGGTGACCTCCAACTGAGGTGAGATGCCTAGGGAGGAAGATGCATGGAAAACATTTACACAGATGTACCTCACTCCTGGACTGCCTAGGCTACCTGTCACCTGAAAGAGCAATTAAGAACTAGCTGGGGATGTACCTCAGTGGCACAGTACTTGCCTGGCATGTCTCAGGCCACAAATAACATTCAACCACACACACATACACACACACACCCCTAGAGCTATGTCAGCACATGCCTGTAATCCCTGCTACTTGGAGACTGAGGCAGGACGATCACAACTTCAGGGCAGCCTGGGCCGAACTTAATAAAAATCTCCGGGGGGGGGGGGGGGGGGGGGGGGGCGGGGGGGGGGGGGGGGGGGGCGCCCGGGGGGGGGGGGGGGAAGCCGGCCATTGGTGGTGCACACCCATAAAGTGAGCCCTCTGCAAGGACTGAAAATATGGGCCCAGTTTGGGCAAGTCTGCAAGACCCTGTCTCAAAAAATAAAGAGCTAGGGAAGTAGCTTAGTGGGAAGACTTTGGGTTTAATACCCAGTGCCACAAGAGAGGAAAAAAACCCCATGGGTTGGGGGCTAGCAATGTAGCTCAGAGGTATACAGCATGTACTCTGTTTGAACAACGCTTGGGTTCAATTTCTGGTGTCAAAATTCAAAAAATGTCTGGGAGTTTGAATGTTACCACTGTACTTGAAATCCACAGGGCTGGTGAGATGGCTCAGTGGTCTAAAGCACCTACTTAGAACAAGCTAAGCTAAGCAAAGCACAGGGACTGCGGTTCAATCCCCCAGCGCCACATGCCAGCCAGCCCCGCTCCCTGGTGGGCTGAGCTGGCCACACACAAATAAATAAATAAACAAATAAATTTAAAAAAAAAAAAAAAAAAAAGAAATCCACAAGTCTTCCCCTGGAGTGGGGATTAAGGATCCTCTGAAAGATAAGCCTGATGAGCACTTTAAGAACTCAACAAGATCCAGAAGAGGAGAATGTAAGTCTGTACCCCATTATGCAAAAAGCTGGATTTCAGTAATCCTAGGGCTGACCAGGATATCCAAAGCACCTCAGCTACTCTTATGTGTACATATACTGTCCTTGCCCAACTGAAGCTTGGGGAATGTTAAGTGTGTGGAAGCAGCCCACGTGTGGACTAGGAGCCACAGCTAGAAAGCTCTTTTTTCAGACCCAGGAAGGACAGTGTAGAGCTCAAGCCTATGGAGAATACCAGGGCAGGGGAGGAGCTGAAGCAGCCAACACACACATCTAGAGTGCATCAGGCACTGGCGCAGCTGAAACTTGTCAAGGCAATCAACATTCTAGCAAGGGAGGGAGAGAGCAACACTACTCAATCACAGAAAACTTTTTTTTTTTTTTTTTTTTTTTTTGTTTGTTTTTGTTGTTTGGTTTTTCCTTTGTGGGGCTCAGAATTGAACCGCTACAAGATGAGGTAAAGAAAAATAACATAAGATAACTTTTTTTTTTTTTTTTTTGGTACTGGGGACTGAACTCAGGAACTTACATTTGCCAGGCAGGCACTTATGCTGCTGAGCTGTATCTCCAACCCCAGCAAAAAATCTTTTACTTCCTAAATGTCTCAAAAGGATCAAGCATGAAATGTGGGCATTTAAAGTGCTGAGTTTGGGAAAGCTTCCTGCTTGCCATGGTGTTGTTTCTCCTGTTACGCCACCACAAACTGAAACCTCTGCAAACTGGAAGCCCAAATGAACCTTTTCTCCTGTAACCTGTGGGTGTTGGATATTTTGTCTTATATGGAAATATAGATATGAGACAAAAACCTAATGTCCCAAGGGAGCAAGGAGCACTACAGAGCACCCAAGGAGAGCTGCTGTCTCTCACTTGGATTCAAGGCTGCGGATAACAGCTTCTCCTGCTGGGCCCTGTTCTTTGATCTCTTGCTAGGAATGTTATCAGCTCACATTTGTGCAAACCTAGTGTTAGGCAAATGGTGGAAGTCCACAGAGAAAGGAGTCTGTGTTCACCCAAGTAATTATGCACATTCCTTAGCCTGCTTTTAGCCCTCAATAAATGTGAGATGCTTCTGTGCCTCTGGGCTCACTTCGATTGTTTCTTTTGGCACTGACTTATACCATAGTCTTAGCAAAAAGAAAGTAATTAAAACAACCTGAAAAGTTAAGAACTAAGCAAAAAGAAGAGGAGGAAGAAAATCTCCAGGAATTAAGAACAAGCTGACAGAAAAAAGAGAAACCACAGAGGAACTAGAGAAGCTGAAGAGAAGTCAGGAAAAATAAAGATACAGTCTGAAAATGGATAATTTCTGGATACATACAAATCACAAAAACTGAACCAAGATGATATAAAAAGCACTGGGTAATCCAATAACACAAGAAACTGAAGCAGTTAAAAGAACAAAAAACCTAAAATGCATCATCTAGGAAAAGCAAAAAACAAAATAAAACAAAACAACAAAAAGCAAAAAAAAAAAAAAAAACAAAAAAACAAAACAAACAAACAAAAAAACCCAACAAAAAAACCCCACCAAAACTGAACTTGTGACAAAGGGCAAGTGAGTAGAACAATTGTATAGCATTTGCAAGGCCCCAAAATTGATCTCCAGCACCAGAAACAAAAACCTGATTTCCATGAAAATGTATTACTTTTTACAAAAAACAAGGTAGTGGGTGGAAAAACTGCTTTATGGAAAACAGAAAAAATTACTCTAGGGAGAAAGAATTCCTGATAGATGTAAGATGAAAAAGGAATAAGAGATAATGTAAAATGCAGCAAAGGAGGTCTGAATATTCTCAGATATGAAACCAACTCAGGGATCACACTGCAGGTGTTACAAATGTATTATTTAGGCCAAAAATATCAAGTGTTGGCCATCACCTGAAAGAACTCTGGAAATGGAAGAGACCCTATCCCGGTCAGGTGCAACATGTTATGCCCACATGTACACCTGCTATCCTACTTAACAGTCTTCAAGAAAGACTCAGTCTTGGAGAGGGGTCAGATCCTAGGGCTCAGAGGTGGGGAGCCAGCCTAAAGGCCCTCAGGCACCAGACTGGTGGCATGAGACTGCTGACGAGGTTCCCGAAGTCCAGCGAGTCAGATGGTTCAGGACCTCAGATCTGGCAAGGGCTTTACTGAGCACAAGCTCATGCAGAACACCAGGAAGGGTCCTGTGGATGGAACCCAGGGAGGTCAGGGCCTGAGCCTGCTCCTGGAGCAACAGAAGGAAACCATACCTGTGGAAGTGGGAATCCGGCCTTTGCCCTCCCTCTCCATCTCAATCACCCGAAGGCCTCTTTCAACATAACTCTGGAAGAACTGTGAGGAGTTTTTCAAAAATGGTTCAATATCAGCATCTGAGTATTTTTTCTTATATTCATATAACTCTGCTAAGCCCTGGTTAAAAAAAAAAAAAGAAAAAGGAAGGGTAGGGATATTCCTTAGTGCCGCTTTCCCACAAAGCAGGTCCCTGTTTGCTTCAGTCCTTTCACTCTTACCTCTTTAGTGTTTTCTTTAGAGCCAATCTTCTTAAAAATCTCAGCTAAGAAATCATTCACTTTGGCCTTTGATGATTTTTCATCCTGCAAAATTAAAAGATGCTAGGAAAGCTGTTTTAGTTATTAATTAGGAACCAATGGTTCTCGATATCTCAAAACCTGGACCTCACTGATACGTCCCTGCAAGTAACAGTGCAGCAGAAACACCAACACTCTGGTTGGAATGCCCTTGGTTTCAGGTTTTTTAGCTGCAGCAGATGAGAGAGCAACTGTCCCCTTATTCCCCAATTTTTTTTTTTTTTTTTTTTTTTGCAGAACCGGGGATTGGAACTCAGACCCTTGCGCTTGCCAGGGAAGTGCTTATTCCACTGAGCTATCTCCCCGGCCCTCTTAGTCCCCAATTTAACAGCACCCACAGTGGGTGTTTCTAGGGAACAATGCCTTGGGCACACACACAGAAACCTTTCTCGGGGCTTTCATACAAGGTCGTTAGCGCTAGAGCCCCACAGCAGGAGACTGAGCAGGCCAATCCCTGGTCCTGACCTTGGCCTTCAGAGGCATCTCCAGGACCTAACTGCAGAGCTGGGCCATTCTGGGGAAACCACCACCCTGCACCCAGCCTTTGCCGCAGGCCACTCACTATTCTTTTTTTTTAATATTTTTAAAAAAAATTTTATTTATTTATGTGTGTGTGTGTGTGTGTGTGTGTGTGGCCAGCTCAGCTCACCAGGGGGCTGGGCTGGCTGGCATGTGGTGCTGGGGGACTGAACCGTGGTCCCTGTGCTTTGCTAAACTTGTTCTAAGTAGGTGCTTTAGACCACTGAGCCATCTCACCAGCCCCCACTCACTATTCTTGATGCGCCCTTCTCAGTTTCCTTCTCAGACTTGCTCCCAGCCTGGTCCATGCTATGCTTCATCATTCGGCAGAGGTGGGCCTCCAGCTCAGACTCGTTCTTGTTGTCAATCATCGTGAGGTGGTCCAGGATCTGATGGGAGTCGGCACGTTCACGTGGAGGTGGTGCTCTAGCCCAGTATGCTCTGAAGCCCCCCAGACCAGCTGCTCTTGCTACTTACCTTGGGGCCTTTTAACTTGCATAAGGTGTGCAGCAGGGTCTTTAGGGTCCTTATGGGAAATTCGCTTTTGCACTGCTTCAGCTTCTCTTTGGGGAAGACTTTCATGAAAATGTGGATGTCCAGAAGGATTCTGTCCAAATTGATGCTGTTGATGGTATCGGGCAACAGCCGAACCATTCTCCAAAGACACTATTGAGAAAAGAAATGAAAGGTAGGAGAGACTCGAGAGTGAGGTTTTTTTTTTTTTTCTTTTTGAGGGTATTATGTTGACATGCATTTTTCCCAAGCTTAGGCTCACTTCTGAAAGATGGTCTGAAATATAAGTGAGGGTCATAACCTTTAAGTTCAGCTGGGAAACATGA